GCTGACCAAACTCTACACTGAGGACGTGAAAGCCTGTCTAAAGCACATGACCATACTGAGGACCAACATAGGCTGGGGTGTCATCCTGCCCTAAGGCAGGGAGTTCATCGAGAAGCATCTGCATGTGGTCCAGCAGCAGCACATGTGGACGGGCATCCAGGGTAAACTAGAAAAAGTCTATAATCTTGTAAAGGAAACCATGCCAAAGAAGCCCGATGGACAATCAGGGCCTGCTGGGCTGGTGTCTGGAGAGCAGCGAGTCCAAGCAGCCAAAAACTAGGCCTGGCAGAACCACGTGTTGCTGGAACGGGAGCTGCAGCAGCAGAAGGATCAGAACTGGTTGCCCATGGTCCTGCCAGGTGTGAGAATCCAGGAGGATCCCCTGAGTGAGAGAGATAAAGGAAGAGCAGGAAGCAGAAGAGAAGCCCATGGACACTTCACCCAGTGGCAGCCTCAACGACAGGCTGGCTGACAGGCTCCCTGCCAGGTAGGCAGCAGGCGGGACAGCTTCAGTGGGCACCTGCGCCCAGGCTGTGCGCCCAGGAACTGAGGGCCTTCATGGAGGCCACCTTTCACAAACACTTTGTTCTCACACTGAGAGAACTCAAACACCTCTTCAACCTACACTTGGCCAGCACGCCCCCTGGCCACACATGCTGCAGGACACGCTGCAGGACATGGTGCAAGACGATACTGGTGCCTTTTCCCCCCTGACTGCTGTTTCCCTGGATGAGCAAATGGTGTTTGGACACATGAGTGATCAGCATCGACAGGTTTTGTTCTCTAAAAATTGCTGGGAATGCCTGAACAAGATCCAATCTGGTTGACTCAAGAGTGTGGAGTGGCTTTAAGTAAACAGGAGGTGGATAAAGGGCTAAAAGACTACAGTGTAAGCTATGCTGACATGTGGCACCTTAAAGTGATGGTACAGTCTTGACAATAGCAGCAAACCACTAACCCAATGAATCTAAGCCCAAGGAAGGACAGCAGAGCCACAAGTACAGTCTCGACTTGCTCCAGCAGACACTAAGCAAGAGGGTGGTACTGCAGCCCAGTGGACAGAGAAGATCATACTCAGCAAGTGGTATTGTCAGCTTAAGTTAGATTACTCCCATAATGGACCAGCCAGGACCTTCTTTGCAGTATTATTTGAAATTCTTCAGATATTTTGCTTATTATTTGGTTTCATTCTCAAAATAGAGTGTATACTAACATGGGCAGGATGGGAAAAAAAAAAAAGCCAAAAGAATTGAAAAGAAAATGCCTTGAACTAATAAGCAATTATAGCAAAATTGCAGGATATAAGATTAATGCAAAAACTTGATCTGATCTGGGGCCGGCCCGGTGGCGCACTGGATAGTGCGCCACTTGGGAAGCGCGGCGGCGTTCCTGCCCGAGGGTTCGGATCCCACATACAGACCGGTTCCCACTCACTGGCTGAGCGAGGCGTGGGAGTGGCGCCGAGGTTTGCGATCCTGTTGCCGGACACGGAAAAAAAGACAAAAGACAAAAAAAAAAAAAAAAACTTGATCTGATCTATTTCTTATAAACCAGCAAGGAAGAACTGGAATTTAGAGTTAAAAACACTATATGATCTATATTATCACACACACACAAAAATACTTAGATATAAACCTAACAAAATACGTACAAGAACTATATGAGAAAAACTAAAAATGTGATGGAAGAAATCAAAAAATTAAATATATGGGGAGATATTTCATACTTACCTGCATAGGAAGACTCAATATAGTTAAGATGTCAGCTCTGTCTTGCTCTATGGATTCAATGCAATCTTAGTGAACATTCCAGCAAGTTAATATGTGGATACCAAAAAACTCTTCTTAAGTTTACAGAGAGAGACAAAAATACCAGAATAGTCAAAATAATATTGGAGAAGAACAAAGTTGGAGGACTAACAGTACCCAACTTCAAGGCTTTCTACAAAACAATGGTAATCAAGACAGTGTGGTATTGAAGATGTAATAAATTAATTAATCGAACAGGTAGACAACCTAGAAATAGACTCACTAAATACAACCAACTGATCTTTAACAAAAGAGCAAAGGCAACACAATAGAACAAGCACAGTCCACTTGGCAAATGGTGCTGATACAACAGGACATTCACATGCCAAATAATGAATCTAGTGATAGACTTTATATACTCACAAAAATTAACTCAAAATGAATCACAGACCTAAATGTAAAACACAACAGTTGTTGAACATCCTTTCAACAAACGGTGCTGGATAACAGGACATCCGTATGCCAAAAAAACGAATGTAGAGCCAGACCTTACACCATTTTAAAAAAATTAACTCAAAATACATCAAAGACCTAAATGTAAATGCAAAACTATAAAACTTCAACACGCTAACACAGGAGAAAAATCTGGAAGGCACTGGATATGATGATGACTTTTTAGATACGACACCAAAGACCCATAAAAGAAAGAATTATAAAGCTAGACTTTATTATAATTAAAAACTTCTGCTCTGTGGAAGACAATGTCAATGAGAATGAGAAGACAAGCCATATAATGGGAGAAAATATCTCCAAAAGACATATCTGATAGCAGACTGTTATCCAAAATAACCAAACAACTCTTAAAGCTCAACAATTAGAAAACAACCTGACTAAAAACTGGGCAAAAGACCTGAACAGACATCTCATCAGAGAAGGTATACAGATGGCAAATCAGCATATGAAAAGATGCTCAACATCATATGTCATTACGGAATTACAAACTGAAACAACAATGAGGTATCAATACACACGCAATTAGGCCAAAATCCAAAATGTTGACACCAAATGCTGGTGAAAATGTGAAGCAACAGGACCTCTCATTAGTTGCTAGTAGGAATGCAAAATGGTACACAGCCTCTTTGGAAAACAGTTTGGCTGTTTCTTAACAAAACTAAACATTCTTACTGTGTGGCTCAGCAGTCACACCCCTTGGTTTGTCTTCAAAAAAAATGAAAACTGTTGTGCACACAAAATTCTATACCCAGTTGTTTTTAGACGCTTTATTCATAATTCTCAAAAGTTGGGAGAATCAGCACTCCTTTGGTAGGTTAATAGATAAATAAACTGTGGTACATCCACACAATGGAATATTATTCAGAGCTAAAGAGAGATGCGCTATCAAGCCATCAAAAGACACAGAGGGTCCTTAAAAGCATATAACTAAGTAAAAGAAGCCAATCTGAAATGGCTATATATGGCATGATTCAACCACATGACATTCTGAAAAAGGAAAAACTATGAAACAGTAAAAAAATAAGTGATTGCCAGGGACTGAGGGAAGGAGGGATAAATAGAGCACAGGTGATTTTAGAACCGTGAACATTCTCTGCCCGCTACTGTAATGGTGGATATCTGTCATTATACATTTGTCAAAACCCAACATCGAGGGATATCTGTCATTATACATTTGTCAATATCTGTCATTATACATTTGTCAAAACCCAACATCGAGGGAACCCTAATGTAAACTATGGACTCTGGGTGATATTGATACATCAACGTGGGTTCATCAAATGTAAAATAGTAATACTCTCGCATAGGAAGTCAACAGACACGGAGGTGCGGTGGGAGGGGGACAGAAAGTAAATGGAAACTCTGTCCTTACTGCTCAATTTTGCTTTAAACCTGAAACTGCTCTAAAAAAGAAAGTCTATTAAGAAAAACACAACAACAGGATGGGGTACCCATGGGGAACACAAGTTTTGGAGGACGGGATGAAGATATCAACAAATTCTCTCCCCAAAGAGCAGGTAAAAAGCTGCACAAAATTGCCAAAAGCAACAATTTCAGTATTCTGGTAATTGACCAAAACACAACAACAAACTGAGAAGTGATGACTCATGAAAACTACTGAACTACAAGCAAGAACAATTCAAGATTGTGGCATTCCCTCCAGGGGCTGCTAACAGTGCCCACAGGCCCCAGCTCTGTTGGTATGGTAGTGCAGTCAGGCTGGGGAAAGCCAGGAAGCCAGCAGCTCTGCTGTCACAGCCAGAGGGACTCATACAATTTGGACAATTTTCAAACAAACTGGTGATTTGCTGGAAACAAACAGGAGGGACCAGCAGCTCTACTAGTCTCATCAGAGACCAGAGCCTGCCCAAACCACCCATACGTCCCTAATGGTGGAGCTGAGTGTGTGCAGAGAAGACACAGCAGGAGGAGAGCCCAGTAGAAGACAAACACCAGGGACACTAGGATTCTGAACGCACTCCATGTCCACACACAGATCATAAGCAAATAGTGGCAGATTCACTGACTCAAACTGTCTGAGTACAAATTCAGACAACTGTTGACCAAATACCATGCATGCAGACAAAGGGGTAATTCCTGGGAAGCCATGTATATAACAATGAAAACAAGACAAAAATTTGAGCAGAGACACCTGCTGCTATACATTGCTAACAGAATTCACAGATTTAGTACAGGCAAGTTACTAAACAAACAAACAAAACAACAAGGACAACTCTCAGGATGAAAAAATCACAATGGAGAGTTGCTATGATCCAAAGCATCCAGTGTTTAATGAGAAGTCCATAAAACATGAAAAGAAACAAGCAAGTGTGACTCATACTTGTGCAGAGAAAACCAAAACAGTTAACAGAAAGTGTCTTTAAGTGTACCCAGATGTTGTACGTAGCAAGAACTTACACTTCAAGGCAGCAAGTGTAAGTACTTAAAGGAAGTAAAGGGAACCGTACTTAAAGAACTCAAGGAAAGTGTAATGACAGTGACTGAACAAACACAGAAACCCAATAAAGAGCTAGAAATTAT